ATTTCCCAGCATTTGAGCCAAAAAACATTTAACAGCACAGGCTGCTGAACAAATAGCACCCATTTTACATTGCAGTGCTTAACTTTGCTTCAACAGATATGAAACCTCAACATTTGTTTTTAGTTTCAAATTAAGAAAGCAGAATTCTAATTTCATAAATCTGCTAAACAAAATAATATCGGCACTGCCTGCTATCATATGCCTGTTGTACTCACTTTTTTCCTGCTTACATACTTACATTCAACATGTTCACATGCTAATATTACTTAATATTAGTTTTTATGTTTTTTGGCAGTTGGTTCATGGATTTTCCCTGTAAATGCTCTATTCCTTCTCAGAGGCCATCCAGTTGTGCAGCCGTTAATTTTGAAAGGTAACAGTTTATGGATCTCAGTTGCACCATCCCATAGTTTTTTGTTAGGCACCTACCATTTCGTCTCACTCTTCAGCTAGCAACTAAATGTCTAATCAATTTCTATCATTACTTTGGAATTCTCTAGCTTTGCTTCATTTAGGCAGGCACAGAACAATGATATCCACAGTTCAAAGTATTTAAAGTCTTAAGAGAAAACAATGGGACATTTTTAGATTGTGGGGGGAATATTTTATATCAAGTCTCATTTATTAAATCTATTTATACAATACGCAGCATTCTAGCCCTGACCCAAGTATCTGCAAACCTCATGATTACAATATAGACTACTACTAGATTAAAGACTACTAATAGTTTATATGACTTAAAAATGACAATTCTAAGGGAATGTTCAACACAAGTGGCATGTCTCTACTAAGAGCCCAAAAAGAAATGAGGAACAAAAATAAGAGGTGCTTTTCCAGTTTTTAAACACACATTTTGTATCTATTTTGATGGGCTGTAAAAAAAAACAGGGACTTATGCGGGAGAGAAGCAATAAAACAAGGAAGTGGCACATAGCCAATAGAAAATTCAGCCAAAACAAGCTGCAAACAGCAGCTGTAGTTTGGAGTTTGTGTGGGTGCATTGGTGGATTTTCAGGAAAGAAGGGCATAAAAATTAACCAAGAAAAGAATAAATGCTGATGAGAAGACAACAGGTTCTCCAAATGTCTAACAATATGAGGAACAGTGGTTGATCTACCACAACTAGGGCAAAGGAACGGGGAGAGAAAAAGCAGGAAAATCTCACTGTTCTTTATTATCCACAGGGTAGACAGTATTTTCAGTTTCCGGGTTCTACTGGAAACATTTAATTCAATGTTTGGGATAAAATAATGGCCATGTCGAATTATATTACAGTGCTTTTACCATAGCAATGTGTACTCTAAACGTAAATGGCAAAGCCTGAGTATTTAAAAATGCACCAGGGAACTCTGGATTTATGATATTTATGGTTTCAATACTCTATTTACATTCTTATTTACATACTTTTGGTCTATAAATGTATATTATGGAAGGAAAAGCCACAGCTGAGAACATACTTTACGTGCAGAATTTTCAGGTTCAGTCGCTGGTATCTCTAGGTAGGGGAGGTAGGGGAGAAAAAATAACTCCTGTTTAAAATGGAAAGCCGCTCTACCCCAGTCAGTGTCAATAACACTGGAGTAAAGAGATCAGGGATCTGATGCCACGGAAGACAGTTTCCTACGTATAAATGATCAACTGTGGTTTACAGGGTTTCGTGAGTGCAGGTCCTTCATAAAATAAATATCATGACAATGTAAACTAGTTGTTTAAATCCACAAAGTTTAAATAGCAGTTTTAGCCTTTGGTTTACCATTGCTAAAACAAAACAAAACAAAACAGGCTAAATTTGCAATGCACACTTTCTGCATGTGAACAATTTTCCTTGCTGGATTGTTATATGTAATTTTGTTCTAAAACAGAAATGGAATTGTTAGGAACAGAATATTTGACACTTAGGAATCAACAACAACATTGTATTTGTTCTGGCAACTACTAAAATAGTTGGAAGGTACATTATGTTCCTTGATTTGCCAACATGGGACTATTTATCCATTTTACATGGATATGACTATAGAAATGAGAAGGCTGCTTTAAATGGGTCTCTGTGGTGGTTCTTTCCATGTGGAAAGCTATTTGCATGCACTGGCCCACCTATTTCTCTTTTTTATCCTGAGTTTCAGGGAGAAAATAGCCCAGTGTATGTACACAAGCAGCTTCACTGGGAGAAAGAGGATATAGTGAAAAATTTAATGCAGTTGCCATGCGGTGGTCGTATTATGTGCAACGACCCTTAGCTTTCCTATTCTGTGTTACATCCTGTATTAAATTGATATGAAACTTAAACTCAGGCAAAGGGCCAAGAAGGAAAATACTTTGCAAGTTTAGAAGTCTATATATTTCTTTTAAAACAATTTCTATCCCATAGCATCAAGTTATTCCCAGCAGAGAATGCCAACTTATTTTTCATTTAGAAGATTATTTTTCATTTAGTTAGAGACACTTTTTGGCCTGCCGCCAGAACAGCTTCACCTGAGGTGCTCAATAATCTCTCAGAAACTCATGGCCTGTCAAAATTTTATGTTTTAGCATAAAACAACACTGTTGGGTTTTTATTTTTTATTTTTTGAATGACTATATTGTCAGCATAAGTGGATTAATTTTAAACTAGCAGCAAATATGAGGGACAACTGGACAAAAATATTGGCATTGCAAATCAGGCAATCATGCACTTGAAATGAAGGTAGATTGGGAAACAGTAATTTAAAACTGTATTTCAAAACTGGAGCAGCTAACTAACTAGTCATTTTTTTCAGTAACCATCTTTTTCACTGTTTGAAGATAATAAAATAATTATTCAAATTTTAAAATACTGATGACATTATTATTACTTGAGAATCCTTAGAAAAGTACACACTTTATGGCAGGTTCCAGATAAATGCATAGTACAATCTCAACCTGGAAGCAATTAATTAATGTTCTCTTCTTCATCACATTTTGCAACAAAGGGTTTAGCACTTTTCCATGTAAGACAGACACAGTGAACATCCTACAGATGCAGAATGTTCAAAAGTCTCAATCAGACTTCAAATTGAATTAATATTTTAACTGCTTGTGATCCTATTCAAAACACATAAGGAAAAGCATTCTAATTGCTCTTAGGATAAAGTCCAGAAAGGTAACCTATTCCCCCATTTCTATGTACACTTCCCATATCATCTCCCACATGCCTCCGACCCATCCTTCAACAACGTCCACTGAAATTATTTATGATCCTACACATTTAGCATAAAGTAGTATTTAATGACATTGTACGAAATACAAATGAAAATGCACTGTATCATCAGAATTACTTTAGAACAATCTATTTAGAATTATATTTAGCTCATGTATTGAATTAGGATCCTGTGCTTTAATTATATAGAAGTCAAATTCGAATTACTAAGAAACTGTACCAATACATTACTTAGTATACATAATACTAATACACTACTTAAGTGCTTCTCATCCAACACTTGAAATCACTCCCTTGCCAGCAACACCTGCAATGCTCTCCCCCCCCAATTATGAGGGCTTTAACAGCCTTGGCTGAAATCCAGTAACATAAGGTTACACCATATAGGTCTGATGAGGTCATCAGTCAGGATGGTATTTTGGTAATTTAAAGTTTCCTATCATCCCCCACAAAGATTCCTAATTTTATATAGGATTCTTTTTGTCCTGGGGAAGCCCTTTGAGGGCTGTGGGATGGTGAAGTCTTAAACGTCTGAAAATCACTGCTGCCACACTCTTCTGTAGCGCCTTCCTCTGGAACTCCAATTTGGGAGGACAGAGGGGACTGCAGAGACAAGGGAGGAAACAGCAAACCTCATATTCAGTCATTTAATGAAAAGCAAATTCTATGAGCCTGATTGTGCTTATGGAACCTTTAGATCCAGCCTATGAATGTGAGACCTGTTTTCCTTTTATATGTGAACCAGTATTTCAAGTCGCTCTTTTTCTCTCATGTCCTTTCTCCGTTACTCTCTTGGTAAGCCACACTTCTTTCCTGTTATCATCCTGTGTGATTTCCCTCCAGCTAATATCTGATCTTTCTTTTCATTTTTTATTTATTTATTTCTTATTTGGCTTTTGTATTGTATTTGTTACTTTATGATTTATGTAATATTTTGTGTTATTTTACTGCTTTGTGTGATGTTGGAAGCCGCCTAGAGTGGTCTTGTAGACCAAATGGGTGGGGTATAAATCAAATAAATAAATCAAATAAATCAAATAAATCAAATAAATAAATAAATAAATAAATAAATAACAGTAGTTAAGAGGAGTAGTAGCAGAAGCAGGAGCAACTCTAAGGAGCATCATCCCAATAGGCTACTAAAGCAATATTCAGCACTCGATACTAACAAAGAGTATGCACACATGACTCAGAGGTTTTCTGACTGGTTAAAGTCTTAAGAACTCTACTCCTTACTGAAGAACTATACTTCATAAATATGATTTGGCTAATTTTAAATCTTCTTTTATATTTCTGTAGGAGTTATTGCTAAACCACAAAATCCACTGTAGTTTGATTGTACACGACTTACTACATTACACTTTAATATAAGGTGACGGCTCAATGAAAACCAGTATTTCTGAACTTTTAAACATTTCACTTCAGAACTAAATCTTTGTTAGAAGCAAGATTTAGCAGCCAGCTAATTTTAGAGCATTCGCTCTTCATGAGCATTCGCTCTTCATTGGGGGGGGGACCTTATAATTTAAAGTAACAATACACTTAAACTTCATAGAAACCAGGCATATTACAAATAAACAAAATGAGTAATTCAAAATTAAAAAGAAACAATATTTAAAAGGGAAAATAATCACCTTTCCAAAACAAGGAAAAAGGAGGTAGAAAACACAGTTTTATTTCCCCAAAGATTTATGCCATTTTATAAAGAAAAATTATACTTCCCAGAAATTGCTCTTAACAATTCCAAAGCTTCTTCATTTAACCACTTGAAAATCAAAGTTACTTAAGATTATAAATATAGCTTCTTAAAACTGTTATTACATACTGAGAATGGCGAAAGGGGCCCAATCTTGTTGCCATAGCGTCGAATGGCCTCTCTGATGTGGGCAGGCTGGATGGCATCACTCTGGGCCTCTGGGCCACAAGCTGCCGTACTCTGCAGCAAAAGAACACATATATTGTGACTAAATAAAAAATGTATAAGCATGCACAGTGCATTAATTAAGGAAATAGCATTTACAAAATGGACTGATGTATTTTCTTCTTTTCTTCTTAGGGCACATCTGTTGTCACATACTGATTAAAACAAAATCCAAACACTGCCATTAAATCAAAGGGGACGTTTATATGACACTTACTGAAAGATCACATTGTCCTGTAATTTCCTACTTAGAATTTTAGTGTACATGAGAAATTCTTAAGCATCAAGGAGCTACCAGAAAGCTTGTTAATTTTTGCTGCAGGCAGAAGGTTGTAGTGGCTGCTCCTAGAGTGGTGCAAGGAACTGCAGAACAGAAGATGTATAAAGAGCTATTGGTCCCACCCAATCCTTTTCCATCTGTTTATTCCACTGTCAGGGACTGCTCACTTGGAACACCATGTTAAAAGAAGACAGATGCTGATTAGGTCAACAGTTTGAACTCGGTGATCTTTTGCTTTCTTTGCTGTCTCCTACAATGCAAAGCTACTCTTCTCTTTAAATCAGGAACGAGTCCTTTTATTTGGTACCCCACCCTGAACCAATACAGTATCTATAAACTTTCCTTTAAGGGTTTTTTTTTTGGGGGGGGGACATGTGTTGGACTCCCCCACCTCTCATTTGCTCTTTTTTTTCTGAGTTAAATTTGCAGGAAACCCTTGTGCGGTACATTTAACTGGCAGAGCAAACACATCACTACATATCAGTTACTAGAGCACTTTAAGCTATATTTGTGAAACTACAAGAAGATCAAGCCTAGTTTTGCTAATGTGTACTGACTCACAAGAGACACTGGGCTCTGCATAGCTGATGTTCTACACTTTTAGTGATGCAATATATGCATTTTGGAGACTGAGAAAATGATTTTTTTTTTCTCTGATGTTTTGGCAGGGATCTCTGGCTAATTGAGATCTCCTTTTACCTTCTCTGTGGTCAGATATGTTTGCTTCTAAATGTGCACACTGCCAAAAAAAGTAATAGCTAGCATTATGTACCTGTTATGCCAAGCTTACATATATTTATCCTCCTGAAAGACTGGTAAAATTCCACCAGAGGAGGTTCTTAATGTTTGTTCAGCAGTGTTTGCTCTTTCATGCAGACCACTTATCTTTAATTCTGTGACTTATATAGCATTTCATTTTCAAGCACTGTTTCTCACGTCCCTTCTAATAAGCCAATCTTGAGTGTAGAAGCAGATAGTTACAAGCCACTAGTTACTCATCATTACTTTTTCCATTCATGGAAGTCTATTTTACAGCTGCAACCGAAAATACATTTTATGTTACATGTTCTGTTCTATGTCCCAGAAAACAAAACCTGTATGTGAGACTAGGCCTGGGAAAGAGTAGGGGCATTTGCCATGTTATAGGCATTTAACCAGCTCCCATAAGATATGTAGGCTCCAGCAATCCTTAGCATCAGCTTTTGAGAAACATGTTGTAAAATATTGTGAACTGGGATGTACATCTTTATTTATCTTGTTCTTGCATGCAAGGATGAGGAACTACAACATTCTCTTTCTCCTCAGAGGATGAGGAATTTCCTGACACTCTCAACAGAATTTACCGGTACACACTGGTTAAAAAAAAAAAGCTTGCACACAAAAGTTCAATAGTTTGTACAAAATTGCAGAAAGCTAGGCTGGTGAATTATGAAACTAAGGGTCATACTTTGTGTATTATGAGAAGATTCAATAGAAAAAACAACAGTGCTAAAAATGTTGAGGGCAGCAGGAAAAGAGGAAGTCCAAATATGGGACGGAAAGACTACATAAATTAAGCCATAGTGTTAAGCAGGGCTCTTAATGAAGGAGGACATTTTGGAGGTCACTAATTCATAGGGTCACAATATCTCAGTGATCACTTGATGGCACTTAACAATACAACAGGCTAGCTGCTGCTTTATTTAATAACCTGTAATACTAGTTTGCAGCTTTCTTTATAATCAACCAGTTTTTCTCTGTGTGTCCTTTGCTTATCAAAGTTAAAAGACACTGGAGACATTTTATACAAATTACAGAGACCATGAGGGGGGAAAGAGTTTTTTGTTTTGCTCTCAGGTGAACGTGAGGGATCTAACATCTCCAAAATTCTTCACTGAGGCTTCTTGCCTTCTGTCAAGATAGCTCAAATGCATAAGAAAAAGGAACTTGGCAAGTTTTCTTTCCATCACTACAGTAAGGGGAGAAATCTTTTTCTCATCCTCACATACAACATAAAATTATTTCACTTCCCTGCATGAAGGTGGGGTATTCTGTGGTGCTCTTGACAAAAGGGGAGAATCTGCAAATTAAGCAAAATGGAGCAAATGTTGCTTAATGCAATGCATTGTTTCAAGGGAACTAATGCATTGCTGATTGCACAAAATGATGAAGATTGGTGTTTTGTTCCAGGAAGATTTAAAGAATAGAGGCATCAAAAGAACTGTCTGCCTCTTTTAAAACAATCAAACAGTATTTTTATATACTGTCTGTGTTATATACTTTGCTTCTCAAAAGGGCACTCGTTTTACAGAAAGATAGTTTGAGCAAACTGCGGAAATGCTGCCAAAGAAAAGAGCACTCTCTCTTTCTGACTTGTCCTAGAAGGCGAAGAATTTCTCAGAGGCTTGGAAATATCTTTGGAAGGAGCTTTGATGAGTCAATACCGTCTAAATTGACAATAATGAAGAAATCAGTAAATATTGTTTACATCCTTATGCAACAACAAAGCCAGGCTAATTTCACACTTCTGGAAGTTGTTTCATTTCTCCCTTACTAGAGTCCAGCATCCACTGATAGACACCTGGTCGAGGCAACACTTGGAATTAAAGAATTTATGAACCCAGCAATTTGTTTTGAGTATCAGAACTGAACAGAGCTCTGACTTTCCAAGCAAAATCTACCAGTTATCCCCAATGCCCTCTATTTGAGCAGTAAAATTTAGGGCATCACTGTGGGTGGGGAAAGGGATGGGATAAATATATATATAAAATTTTTTGGTAAGTGATAAATAATTGGGAGTCAGAAATCTTTGCTGATGGTTTTAACCCCATCCCAATCAGTCTTCTTTCCATTATCTTTTATCTATAGTAAAATGAATAGTAAAATGAACAGCATTGTTGTTTTCAAAGCATCTTCACTAATTAACAAAATAAAAACAAATCCATGTAATGTCTATCAAAGAGTATAATGAGAGCTAGATAAATTTTCAGATTTAAGTAAACATTTCCTTCCTAAATCTTGTTACTCTTTATCTAAGTTGAGGGAAATGGTGTTGAGGTTGCAGTGTCTATTTCTTCTTGTCTTATATTGATGTGAATTAAGTTCAGATTCCATTTTACTACCTTTTCATATGTTTACTAAGTGCTTAACCTGAATGCTTTAAAAATGTTTATGAATAGCCACAGAATTTTACATATCTTCCTAATACTACTTCATACCCAGTATACAGTCATATGCTATGCATAAGCAAGTTGTTAAAAGACAGCTTAGATGCTGTATGAAGAATGTTATTCATATTGCATGAGGGCCCATCCAGCAGAAGCAAGTTGGTTTCTACATTCCCTTTACGGGCATCAGTCAGCAAAGGAAGACAGATGAATGGAAGAAGCATGTGAATGTATCTTAAGGTCTGCCTCTTCATTGCTTCTAAGAATAAGGCAAATCTTGCACCAGACCCAGCTCCAAAGAGTTTGACAGATTTTCAGCACTCCCTTGGATATGAAGTTAGCTTTTAATTGGTACAAGCAAGGCACTTGAACTTGGTAGGGGGGAGATTCTTTTGTGACAAAACCATCACACTACCTTACTGAGCTCTTAGAACTGAATGAATAAGGTGATTCCCCCATAATGCCCTTTTCTGTTGAAAAGGACGGGCTGCTCAAAACACGTTTTTACATGATGACACTGCCTCATGAACACTGCATACATTTCAACAAACTGTACAATCTGAAGTTGGGTTGGGTGGGAGAGAAGCAGTGGTTCTGTCACCTCATAGTAAATCCTACTGGCTAATGCCAACCAGGGTAGAAATAAAAGGCTCTTCTTTTCCCTATGGCAGGGACCATTTAAAACAACAACAATAATATTTTTTATGGATTACAACAGACTGGCATATGTTGGAAACCTGTTTTCCAATCTCCTCAGGTGGCAGAAAGCTATTTGTTTCTTTCTGTGTATTTGGGAGGTGAGACATATGTTGGTGTCTTAACAATTCACTGGGTGAATGCGCTCTTTTTATGAAATGTGTGTCTGATGGGTTTTTATATTGGGATATTCGTCAGTAAATGAGATCACTACATGATTGTGGATGGGTGTCCTGTACTGAAGCTACACATAGGCTGAGGAAAATTTGATATGGAGAAAGGACGGGGGTCATAGTGACAAACAGACATACACATAATTTATCTCTGGTTCCTTCCCTAACCCTCAGGTACTGGGTTTCACTTCCACCAGGCTCATCTGGCTCACATTAAGACATTACTCATTCATGAAGAAGGAATCAAGCTGGCATATATGTATAACCATGACCTGGGAGGAGTTGATCTAGTCTGGTTTTGCCCATTTTGGCACTCAGTGTTATATCAGAACAGGCTGCAGGATCAGGGGAGAGACTGATGTGGCCCTCAGAAGCTCCACCCTTTTCATCCTGGGGCCAGTCGGAATATTTGCATCTGGTGCCTAGCCAAAGAGGGATAGTTCATGTACCATCCACTTTTCTGCCCAGTTGCCTAACTGAACAAGCTAACGTAGATCTTTTCTGGCTCAATGTTACAGAAAAACCAATGATGTTGTGGGGACTTAACACACATGATTAAGTTGCTTCTAGCAGACTGGCTCGGGACTTCTTCTCCATGATATCCATAGGGTTATCTCAAGTTGTCTTCAGGTCTTCTTTCTAATTGGGTCCTACTCTTAATTTAATCTTTGACCCATATTGTGAGTTGGATGGTCTGAAGACTGGTACTGGGGTGTGTGCGTGTGTGTGCGCGCGCGCACACATGCAAACTGCAACATCTTGATCAGATAATTTTTATGAGGTTTGAACTCATAACACCATTTTCTCCCTGTAGCATAAGGGAGCAATTCGAATTGTTCACCTCCAAAGAAGTAATGGGATAAATTCTCAATTGCTTTAGGGTTCTGATGGATTATCTCACTTTGGAATTGTGAGATTTGAAGGGCTATAAATGTAATGGACCAAATACTTTCTCCAGTGTTTGTTTGGTTCTAGTGTTCCTGTTTTTGGCACCTGCTGGGTTTCTCTGTATTTTTGGGGACTGCTACCAATGAAGGAACCCAAAACTATGCCGTTTAGGGATTTGAATGTTATCATCATAACCTTGAAGTCAATGTGGAAACGAACTATTAGCCAATGAAGGGTGGCCAGAGTGGGGGAGATGTGCTGGGATTTCTTCACCTCAGTTATTAATCTGGCTGCCAAATACTTTTCCCTCTGATACTGGACAGACACAACAATTTTCATTTCCAGTTTCCCCTTGAAGCTAATTTTGTAAGACCTCTGGGTTGTAGTTAAATCTTATTTTATGGCTAATGTGCATTATCCAAAAACCATATATTAGCATATTTCAGATGGGGCTCTAAGGAAATAACTAGTACTTATCAGTACAATGATTCTCCCAACACTAATAGCTAGAGATGGGAACAAACTGAACCACGAATCAGGCTGGTTCATGGTACATTTTATGAACCAGTTACGGGATCCTGTTTTGCCAAAACAAATTTAAGTGCCAAACTTTTCCCCCCGGCACTTCATTTTGTTTGGCAAAAGTGGATGCCCATCTGAGCCCTTCCTGCTGTCCCCATCACTTCACTACCTGGTCCTGCCACTGCTGCCTCCCTTCCTGACGCCAGGCCTGCTGCTTCTCCACATGCACCAGTGGCAGCAGCAGGACCAGGTAAGGAGGTGACTGGGGCAGTGGAAAGGGGGCAGGAGGGTGGCGGAGGGCAGAAACACATAGGTCCCCCTCCCCTAGGCATGAGCCAGAAAAACAAATTGTGAACTGGTTCATTTTTCTGGGGGATTGTGGTTAGTCATTATATACTCCATGGAATGCAATTTTATTGAAAGATTTACTGTCTATACCGCCATCTTAAACATACTTTTTTCCTCTTTCGTTGTTTGATTTTGGAGGAATCTTGTCCAATGCTGCCATTTCCTATGGTTCCGGATGGAATTTTCCCAATATGCTGTGGACCTGCTGATGGAGGGTTGGGTGTTGCGGGTGGTGTATTTTCAGGAGATTCTGGGCTGGTCTTTACACTTGCAGTCTGTCCTAAAACATGCATCTAAAAATAACAAAAGATAAAGTAGGGATGTAAGCATATTATTCTGTAAGTATATACCCTGAAGCTGGCTACATAGCTCTGTGAGTTAGGTATCTGACTAAAGAGCCAGAAGTAGGGAATTCAATTCTCCACTGTGCACCACAGAAAAGTCAGTCTGTTTCACCTTGGGCAGGTTGCACAGTAAGGAAGGAATGGTAAACCATTTCTAAGCATTTTTTATCTGGAAAACCTTGAAAACAGTTATCATGAATCAGAATTGACTGGACAGCACAAATAGAGAGAAAGAAACTCTAAAACACTACATGTTTGGAAATGCAGGTAATGAACTCAGAGCATTTTGAGGAATTAGAAGATAAGCATTCTAAATAAGGGAATAAGGTGGCATGCTACAACCTTAAAAGCAAAGCGTGCTGATTATATACTGCCTCATAGCACTTCAAGCACTCTCTGGGCGGTTTACAAGTTAATTATGCAGGCTACACATTTTACCAACCTTGGAAAGATAGAAGGCCGAGTCAACCCTGAGCCGGCTACCTGGGATTGAACCCCAGGTCGTGAGCACAGATTTGGCTGCAGTACAGCAGTTTAACCACTGCGCCACAAGGCTTAAGTAAGTTGTATTATCACAAGAGCACACAGCAGGATAACACACATACAGATATTATCATCTATGGTAGGAAATAACAAGTGGCTTATCTAGGAACTCACACTCATGAAATTTCCTGCACTTGCACAGAGTATTCGGAGCTTTCCAGAGCTGAAATAGTACATTTTGGCATGATCCTCCCCTGTTCCAAGCACTGAAAACCTATAAACAATCCTTCATTAAATAAGAAATGGCATGAAATGCAATTTTCTTTTTTCACTGATTTTATTTGTTGTTTTTGCAGGGAAGGAGCCTAAAATGGTTTCAAAAACAACCATATAACTACATGAAGTCTTCAGGCTGCATGGTTCTCTTCCATCACCTAAATGAAGGAACACCTTGATCTCTGGGTCTATTGTCTTCCTCCTAAACAAATCCTGAAGCTTCAGTTTTTAAACGTTAGGTGGATACAGGTGAATTTTGCATCACATTACCAGATGGAAGAATCTCAGGCTTGTATTCTGGAAATCTAACACATATTTTGGTAAGTATTTTTGGATCCATTTCAGACAATCTACCTGCCCAGGAATAATCTGTTCAGGAATTCAATCTCTGTGAGTTCCATCAAGAGGTGATCTCTTCTGGTAACACTTAAGACTAATACGCAGATGAGAACTACCCATTGTCTTATGCAATTCCAAACATTCTGATTTTTATTAATGAAAATATCCCCTTGCCGGTGCCATCATAAGTTATGCAAAAGGATTTAAGCCATAAATACACTCAGCACACTAACAAAAAAAAACATGCAATATTTATTTCCATTCTTATGAAAAAAAACTATTATGTATGAATTTACCTCAGCAGAACTGTGATACTGAATGAAAGTAGCAGATATTGCATGGCTAAAAGGGTCCCCAGCTTTGCTAGTCATGTCCTGCTTGACCAAAAGGGCTAGATCCACCAACTAGGTAAAGAATGTAACAACAACAAAACATGTTTAAAGAGGCAGAGTTTGTCATTTGTTAAGCCATTTAATTGTTAAGCCATTTAATCAAGACAGCTGTCATTGACATGGAACTGAAGGTATAATGTGTTAAAGCAGAGGTAGGGAATCTTCGGCCCTTCAAGCATTGTTAGACTTGAACACCCACATAGTCAATGATCAGATGTCATGGAAGTTCTTTTTTAGCAATATTGAATTGGCGTCAGGTTCCCAACTCCTGTTTTAAATTTCAGCTTTCAATTTAGTTTTGAAATATGTAAGGCTTATAACTCATAATGCACTAGAATAGATATCAGACTCTGTTAGTAAGTTCCTAAGTGAATTTCCAATTATGTCACATATAAAAATGGATAAATCTAAAGCATCTTGCATATTATTCTCTATTTGACCTCAGTACTGTATATTAAACACTTCACAAAATAATATATAATTAATAAAAGCTGAAGTACTCGGTATAGTTAAGCTGTGGTATAGAAAGTAACAGGTGGGTTTATTCTGAAACGGAGTTAGAACAATTATTTCCTAGAATGATCTGATTCATACAGTATGAATACATATTTACCTGTGCCACAGTCTCATAGGCTAAATAAGCTAAAATTTCCATGGCAACTGCATTGGGTTTTATTTCCATGCTGCTACAGTCCAACCAGTCCCGGAATTTGGATGCTTTCTTGGCTGTACAGACAAAACACACAAGAGTTATATTAATGTTGACTATTCCCTTACATGTTACTACATACTGTACGTATACTAATAAAGTCATCTCCTACAGGGTTACAATAATCCTGCAAACAAGCTGCAAACAAGGCTTCCTTTCTTTTTCTCTGTGTGGCCACTTAATACAAACAGACCCAGGGAAACCCAGATATCCCGGTGCAACTTCACAGCAAGGGAATTTCCATTTCCCTTAATGTGTAGTACTACCCATGGCTAACAATCTGGTTGCTTCATTTTGAACCAGTTCTGGTTTCCAGAATGTTCTGTCCCACAAAGTGCAAGTTAAAGTAGTCTCCCGTGCAAGTAATTAATGCATGAATTCCCAAGGCCAGGTCTGTGGTTATCAGGGAAGTCCAAGCTGGCATATAGAGTAGAATGAGGAAGAAGCATTCATAGCAGCTACCAACAACACCTGAGGATCTAAAAGTAGCATCAGTTCCAAGAGTACCCTCTGATACTACTACAATGGCATTCATTTATCCCAAGAGGAAAAGTTGGTATGTGGACTGAGCTGAGATGCATATCAGAGCAAAAAATTTGAAGACGAGGGTACCTCATTCTCTGGCCATAAATCTCTTATTGCCGAGATCATCAGAAAGCCCAACAACTAGTATCTTTGTAATGTCTAGATAACACTTCTGTTTGTTCAATTCATTATTAACTTCAGATACTGATTTTAAACCTTCAGTATCATTCTAAGTGCAGAGAGAGAATAGCAAGAAATGGAGAGAGATAGGTACCTTCAGAATATTTAGGGTGCAGCAGCCCAAATCTCTACAAACACTGCACACTGACTTCATAGGAACATCAAGTACCCCAAGGGCACATTAGGTGCCTCCTGCAAGAGAATTAGGAGTCTACCAGCACAAATCTTTAGTAAACCTGTCCAGAGCCATCAGGAAATCATTAGGTACCCTTCACATTTTGCAAGCATGGACCAAAATATAACCTAACACTTAAAAAAAGACAAAAGATGTAAAATGTAATGTCCGCCAAAGTAAGAGATATTTATACTATACCACTTGTGTCACTTAAATATTTTTAGAACACCAGAAAATCTGACATTGTAATCACAGAAGAGGGCATTTACATTCACATTCACTCAAGGGCACTACATAGCATTTTGATAAGCTCTACTTTTCAGTTCAAGCACAAGCAACATGGTCCTCAAAGGCAATGTAGCTTTCATGACTTGGAAAACAAAAGCAAATAAGAAACTCATAAACTAGCATAGCACTAATGAGTTGTTGATGTTTGACCAAGTTCATGTGAGCTTGACCACACTTTCTCCTTCTTTATACAAATTCTATATGATACTTCCCAGTTAGAAGACTATGGCTAAAATCTTGTTTATACAACCATGCCATGTAAGGCTGATGATGTCATCAACAACGGCAATTTTTCAGAAATAAAAATTTCTGATCCCCCTTGAAAGTTCAAATGCTTCTGTGAAATTCTTTTCATCATGAAGTTGCTGGGGGCCACAAGATAAGGGGGAAGTTTTTCATTTCCTAAAATTGCTGCCCCTGGTAAAGTCATATGGGTAGTGGCAATTTTCAAAATGAAAGACTCCCCTCACCCCTCTCCCATTCAGCAGCCTTCAGTGGCTTCCCCATGACCAAATGGGACCACAGGATCTTTGGTGTGTGAGGAGTTGTTGTTGTTGTTGTTGTTGTTGTTGTTGTTGTGTTTCTGAAAAATTGCCTTGGTTGCCGACATCATTAGCCTTATGCAGCCAGCGTACAAGGTTTCAGCCAATAAATCCGATTCTTATACTGAATTATCACTTTTGCTTTCGTTTTGAGTTTTTTGAGTAAATGATTTTAAAGCTGCCTTTCATCTTTATTAATACTGTGGTGTTGCACAAATATAAACAATGCCCCCCTCAATGCACCATCATAATAAAACGAAAGAAAAGCAGTAGATACATTAAGACAGAAATGCCTGGGAAAGCAACAATGATTTTGAGTTGGCAATTGAACAACTCTATTGTGAACACCAATCATATCTCCATCAGGAGATACACTATAGCAGAGGTTCTTAACCTTTTTAGTGGTTGGCACCCCACTGAATCCCAAAATACATTCTCTCACTCCCTTGAAAAATGTGTACCAATATATTTGTTAGAAAATTACATTTATTGAAAAATAAATTATTTAATGAAAAACAGACACATATATAAGTACTGACATTAAATTAAAATAATGTCTCAATTTTTAGTGGCCAGTTTGTTGTTTACTCATAATAATTAGCAAGTGGGGATCCTGTTTTGAAAGAGGTATGTATAAGTCATCACTTGCATTTAAGTGATTTCTGATTTTTGTCTTTATATACAAAAGTGATGACAATCCCATTTCACACATATAGGTGGTAGTAAATGGTAAGTGTCTGCAATGCTGCCTTCGCCAGTTGTGGAAATGGTTTGAACTGAGCACACCAGAATTGCTCCAAGTCCAGTTTTTCTAATTCCATTTGAATACGTGCATTTGCCCATATTTAAATAAGATTGTTTTTTGTTAAATGACTGTTGTCTATAGAATTAAAGTAAAAAAGAAATGGATCCAGTATCCATCTCTGCTCTTTGCCAATATCTCCAGTGGAAAAATATCCATGAAAAGATGCACTCGATTGTTGCAAATGCACTACATGTTCAGGCAAAATTGTGATTTTCTCATTTTCAAAAATGATTTCATCAAGCAAGGGACCGTTTGCAAAATTACCGTTTTCAATTCCTCCAAAATTTCCTTTTCCTTTATGTATCACACAAATACTAATAGCTGACTGCAATTATTAACATCGGCTGACTCGTTCAATTGAATACAGTACAGTACTCACTTTCAGAGGACTGGCTTTAATATCTTATACTACTTGCAGTAAAATATGCTAATATCTTGAATGCATGATTGTATCACATCATTTGATAATGGAGTCTGCTCAACTTTTTAAATGTGCTTCAGAACCTAATACAATTTTCACAATTTCCAAACACATGCTTTTAACAATTCCTCAGCTTTTTTTTCCTAGCACAGACATGCCACCTGATAAGAAGCTTCTAATAAAGGCTTCTGGAGTGTCACAAAGTCAAATGTTGTGATAGTACCACTGGTCTCAAATCATGCCTTCTTAGACTTCAAGATGTCAAGTGCATGTCCTGCAGCTTCACCACTATGCTAATTGTTGAAATATTCTAACAATTTAGACAGTTTGAGATTGCAGTTTGAAAACATCTTGCAACATGACAACACAAAAATCAATTACTATTCTTACTGAAAACAAAGAAAATTAGTGTTTATTTGTGCGTTGGCCTGCTTCGTTAACATTTGTGCATGATGAAGTTCATATTTCAAGCAATTTCCGGTGGTACAGTACTGGGAAGTGCACATGCAGTGACAAAAGTAGGGTGGGCAATAGTGGGGATCATATCATTGTAGCATCTGGTCAGTCTTTGCCAGTACGTACATATTCACACCAACCATGAGTACATAGTACAGTCAAGTCAAATTTATAGAGAGCTTTAAATTTTATATTATGAATCTAGAAGTTAAAAAAAACAACTGTTACAACTTGCACCAGTAGAAATGCTTTTTCACACCCCTTATTAAGAACTGCTGCTCTATAGTTAGAATGCCACAACTAAGAGGAGTCTCTCCCTTCCAGATATATAACCTAGCCCAGAAAAGACCTCCCAGCCTCGCCTGTGCTTGTGGGATTGGGTAATCCAAGTCATTTCATGACATGAAGCAAAGGACAAGACTGCGGTCCCTCTCTAACCCATGTACAAAAGTTCATTGGACCAGCAGCTGACTCTTCCTTCACCACAATCATGGGATATCACCTTCCACCACAGTGAAGACAACAGCTAGATTGTGGAGCCCAAGGCAGGTTGTGTAAACCACTCCATCTTCCAACACAGAAGACAAGCAGGGGAGTTCAAGGGAACAACCCTCCTCCCTGCCAAAGGCCGTCTGGATTTGCCTCACTCTGCCTCAGAGTGACTGATGTCTGCTACTGACCAACAGTCTCAGGATATTGTTATGCCTTCATTTAAAACCTCTTCTCCAGTTGAAGAGCTGCCCGAAATATCGTTTAGCATGCCGAAGATTTACATTGCTGTAGCTTTGATTATAATTACTACGTGCAAAATGTGATTTTATTTCAAGCCTTTCAGATACTAAAACAAATTTAATCTGAAGATTCCTCAGCATAACCATTTGCAGATGTCATGAAATGCTCTAAATGCAGCTCACAAAAAAGTGCACTGAAATAGCAGAAACCCCACCAGCAAATCAAATTTCCCTACTGTTTGACATTTACAGAAGACACAACTGTGGATGCGTCATTTATTTTTCACATTGTGATCTGTGAATTAATTAGTCATTCCTCCAAATCAAATACTTGTTATAGAAAACAAGAGAAGTGCCTTTTATTTTAAGATGCCACTGTTCTTCCATTTATTACTGTGTCATGTGCAACTTGGTCATGCTTTTTACAGGCTTTTACTGTGCTCTCTTTTTGACTTTTAACCCTTTAAGGTCTGTATAACTGCTTCTGGAGTGATCTGTTGAAATATGACGAAGACTATTCATTGAGAATGAACTGTAATTGTGTCTGACAAATACAATGATGTGTGCTGTTTTTCAGTGATGGTAGGACCTTAATGTTTTCATTATGTCATTTGGCATAATGGCAGCATGCACTAATGATTTCTGTAATTTAAAATAAGCCCTGTGGAAGGAAGCTACAGATTTTAATTCAGAAAACATGTTTGGTAGAAAGAGAAATTAAGTGACATTTGTTAACATTAGCTAACATGAATGGATGATTAATGATTAGGAACTTATCACTCACAACTGAACCTTCTCAGTCCTTAGTAATGAGGCACATATTGTTACTCAGAGGTATATTCATCCCCCTGCTGTTCCTTCACGTCTGGGGTCAAGTCGCATATGGTTGACCTA